CTCGCTGCTCACTACTCACTACTCACTAGTCACTACCCAGTACTGGCTACTCAGTACACACTATTCACTAATACTCATTACTCACTACGCACTACTCACTACTCACTACTCGCTATTCCGCATTCACCACTCACTACTCACTATTTCCTACTCCCTACTCCCTACTCACTACTCTCTACTCACTACCCGCTACTGCCTACACAGTACTCACTACTCACTACCCGCTACTCCCTGCTCGGCGCTCGCTAATCAACACTCACTACCTACCACCCAGTATTCACTACAAACTACTCACAACTCACTACTCCCTACTCCGTACCCACTACACAGTACCAATCACTCACTTCTCGCTACTCACCATTCGCTACTCACTACTGGCTACTCACGACTCGCTACTCCCACGCGCCGCTGGCTACAGAATACTCCCTCTTCACCACCCACTACTCACTACTCCTCACTAATTACATCACTACTCACAATTCGAAACTCCCCACTCACTAGTCACTACTCACTACTCACAACTCACCACTCACTACTGACTACCCACCACTCACTACTCATTACTCACTACTCATGACTCACGATTCACGACTCACTACTGGCACCCACTACTCGGCACCCACTCCTCACATCTCATTACACACTACTCACTACTCCCTACCCACTACTCACTACCAACTACCCACTACTCACTACGCGCTCTTCCCTACTCGCTACTCAGTACTCACTACTCACTACTGCCTACTCCCTCCTCACTACTCACTACTCGCTTCTCACTATTCTGAACTCGCTACTCACTGCTCGCTACTCACTTTTCACTACCCACTACCCACTACACACTACTCACTACTCACTGTTCCCTACTGATTGCTCACTACTCACTATTCACTCCTCACTGTTCACTACTACCTACTCTTTACTATTCGCTACTCTCTATTCACTACTCACTACTCACGACTCAAAACTCACTAATATCTACTCACTACTCACTACTTACTACGCACTACTCACTATCCACTACAAACTACCCACTACCCCCCACCCACTACTCACTACCCACTACTCACTACGCACTACTCCCTACGCCCTACCCAGTGCTCACTACTCATTACTCACTACTCACTACGCACTACTCCCTACCAGCTACTCACACTACTCACTACCCAGTACTCACTGATACTCACTAACTACTCACTACGCATTAATCACTACTCACTACTCGCTACTCTCTGCTCACCACTCACTACTCACTACTCACTATTCCCTACTCCATACTCCCTAACCACCTTCTCCGGCGCAGAAAGGAGCAGCGGGAGAGGCCCCCTCCGCGGCTGTCTGTCCGGCGCAAAGGGGGCGAGGGGGGGGGGGTCAACCCGCCCCCCCCTTTCCAGCGCCAGAGGGGGGGGGTCGAAAATATCACTCTCCCTTTGAAGGGGGAGGGGGGGTCCGACCCCCCTCCTTCGTTCTCAATTACAGGGTGATCCAGTAGCGCGTTTTCAGCATCATCAGCAGCAGCCGCATCCTCATCGTCAGCATTAGCAGCTGCATCATCATCATCATCATCATCATCATCATCATCATCATCATCATCATCATCATCATCATCATCATCATCATCATCATCATGATCATCATCATCATCATCAGCAGCAGCAGCAGCATCATCATGGCCGTCAGCAGCATCATCGTGATCATCATCATCAGCAGCAGCAGCATCAGCAGCAGCATCACCATCAACATCATCATCGGCATCATCAGCATCATCCGCATCATCATTATCATCATCATCATCAACATCAGCATCATCATCAGAATCATCCTCATCCTCATCGTCATCCTCATCAGCATCATCCTCGTCATCGTCATAAGCATTATCAGCAGCATGCAACATCACCATCAGCATCAGCAGCAGTATCCGCATCATCATCGTCATCATCGTCATTACTAGCATCATCGTTAGCGTCATCAGCAGCAGCAGCATCGTCAGCATTATCATCGTCGTCATCATCAGCATCATCATCAGCATCAGCATCGTCATCAACAT